GAAGTATCACCTCCTTGGATCTATTCGTCATGCATCTGCTGATGCACGATAAAGTGCCATTGGCTTTTCTGATGGCTTCGTCACACTGCCGACTCATGTTCATGTTGGAGTCCACTAGGACTCCAAGATCCCTTTCCACTTCCGTGCCACCCAGCAGGTCATTCCCTAGGCTGTAGGTGTGCTGGACATTTTTCCTCCCTAGGTGCAGCACTTTGCATTTCTCCTTGTTGAACTGCATTCTGTTGTTTTCTGCCCGCTTGTCCAACCTGTCCAGGTCTGCTTGCAGCTGTTCCCTGCCCTCCGGCGTGTCCACTTCTCCCCATAGCTTTGTGTCATCTGCAAACTTGGACAGAGTACACTTCACTCCCTCGTCCAAGTCGCTGATGAAGACGTATGCTCCGTTTCTGCCGCACCTGGTGGCAATGAGCCGTCCCCCCCTTTAATGCCGCACCAGGAGAAAAAAACTTCATGGTGTTAGCTTGAACTTTCCTACTTAGTAGTTTCATGTTGTGACTGCTTGTTTTTGTATTGTGATGGACAGTCGATAATGAATCCTTGCTGACTTTCTCTTCACCATTTAGCAATTTGCAAACTCTTTTCATGTCATCCCCTCCAAGTGTGTCTCTCCTAAACGGAGCAGCCCTGGTCTCATTACTCTCTCCTCCTAGGAAAGTTCCTCCGTGCCGCTCATCGTCCTTGTTGCCTTTCTCCGGACCTTCTCTAGTTCATCTAGATCCTTTTGCAGGTGCAGAGACCAGAGCTGGGCACCGTATTCAAGGTATGGATGCACCATAAAGGGGCATCGTGATCATTTCCACTTTGTGTACAGCTCCCTTCATCATCATCCTTCACCTGGTGTGTGCCTTTTTTGCCAGCTGCCCCCGAGGTGGGGAGGCATGATGAGATGATGTTTTAGCGACCTGTCCCCAGTGACTCACAGGTCTCTTTCCTGTGTCATAACAGCCAACCTAGAGCTCGATGTAGGAGAAATGTCCTCAGCTGGTTTTGTCTCCTACATCCTAATGTAGAAGCAGCCTCAGCCGCTTCACTCTGCAGGCGGTGCCTGGTGCCAGGGCAGACGTCATCCAGCCCTGACCCTGCTCTGCTTCGTTCCTGTGGGGGGTCAGTTTGGCGCAGGGGTCCCAGATGAAATGAGGCTCAGTGGGGTTGTTTGTAACGCAGGAGGCCGCGTCTTGTTCCTAAATATATCAGAGAAGCAGGGGTTGACTCTGCATTGTCCAACAATATTTAAACCATCACAGGCTTAAAGAACCCCCTTCAGTTTGTAGGAGTTGAGGACAAGTCCGTGGTACCCCAAAGCTTGTCTGTGTGCGTCCCAATTGTACAAGAAATCACCCACAATATCCTCTTACGCATCACTATGGATGTTGGTTCCTCAGTTATCAATTCAAATCGCCGCTGAAGTCACTGAAACAGAAAGAGACCGGAAAGGAGAGCAACACTTGTCTTTGAGTCCTTCCTCCCTCACTACCTCTGGCACTAAGGGGCTGTGGTCAGGACAGCATCACCCAGGGGGCCCCGTGTCTTCAGTACACATAACACTGATTAGCTCAATATTATTCAAAAATATTCAATTCAAATATTCAAAAATACCACCGCCGCACCCCACAAATGTCCAGTCATCTCCTTGAGTCTGGAAAACTCTCCTTTCCTCATTATTGACCTCTGCATAGCTTCCCCTTCCACCTTGCAAACAGTCATCTTCATGCCTTCTTCCTCAAAGGTCCTGAGTGTGTTCCCACTTTCCAGGACTCAACTCCAGGGTGCCCATCTCCATGACCGCATCCACCCTACGTCCCTCACATTGCTCACGGCCATCCTTGCTGTAGTGACAATCTCCTTAACTGCTCCCCTTGCTGGATGCGTCTTTTTGCCCATCTCCAATATGTGCTCTCAAGGCTAGGTGCAGACTCTTTATTATGCATAGCCCAGAGCCCCACTCTTCTAGACACGGTACAGACCCAGATCAAAGCAGCCCCTGCCCCAAATTGCTCACAGTTAGTGTGAGAGATGGCAGATGGAGATCAATAAGGATTTTGAGGACAGCACGACTATACCAGTGCAGTGTAACGACATTGCCTGATGCAGTGGAGCGGGCATCGGAGCAAAGGAGAGCTCTGAGGATGGGTTTGACGGGTAGCAGTGTAGCCTTGCAGGTCTTCACCTGATGCACCTGCCGAGCACAAGGACAACAACATAGGAGAAAGCAGGCCAGGCTCCTTTGCAAATCTAATGGGAGAGACGAGAATCGGAGGCTAGAGCAAAGGCCTGAGGAGTGAATTAGAGGTGATAGGTTATGAAGGCCCTCGAATGTGAAGACTGGTGGCTTATACTTGCACAGACAAGATGGAGCCAGAACAGAAAACATTAGGACGTGCAGATGATCTAGTTGTGGTTGGCCTTGCTTTGGGCAGGGGGTTGGACCGGATGAACTCCTCGGGTCCTTTCCAGCCCTCATTTTCTACAACTCTGTATGCAGTGACAAGAGCCTCGAGTTGCAGCCAGGTGTGGGTGGTAGAAGGGCTGTTTCTTTCGGGTCTGATGCAGAAAGAGTTTGTGAGTTTACCTAGCCTGGGTGCGAGGATCTCGAGTGTCTAGTCGCTTGGGTGCTACCACAGAAACATGATTCTCCATAACCTGCCTTGCCCTTATATGCCTTAGCTTCTGCTTGGTCCTGAGAAGTGGCGATGACAACAGCCATCATACCAACCAGCCCCCCACCTGCCCAAGGGGGTGGAAACTTTTATTACATCCTGACGGACGAATTCCCCTATGGCAGCAAGCTCTTTCAAGCTGGGCACATGTGCTTCATCAGCGAGAGAAGTTACATGCACTTTATCTCCAGTGACACTGCTCCCAAGAGTCACCTGAGGGTGACCATGCTGCAGGACAATTCCACAGTCACGGTCAGCGTAGAAGTGCTTCAGCCCCTCGAGGACCGAGAGCCTGGCTTCCTCCTGGCCGTTGGCAACCAGAGGGAACGCTTGAACTGTTTCCTGGAAAGGCAGGGCCTCGAAGCAGCTATGGAGGCTAAGCTGGGCCAACAAGTGGTGGTGAATCTTGACCTGCAGCACTTCCCTGGCATCATCCGCTACATTGGAAGGATTACTCAATCTACTTGGTCCCCCCTGTCTCCCACCTTCTTTGGGGTGGAGTTACAGGTAAGGTACTTAGGAGGAGCTTTTCCCTTGTCCTCCTCTCCAGTTAATGTTATGTTGGGCCAGCATCTCATCCTAACGGAAAGGTTGGCCACAGGCAGTGAACCTGCAGTGCCTTTCCACCCATATATTGTGAGCAGGGATCCTGGTTTTCTCTGATTTAAAAACCCAAATCCATGTTTTTCCACAATTTAAAGTGAAATGCCACTATTATATACAGGGGGGGTGTGTGTGTACGTGTTTATATATAGGTATCAGCTGAACACAATGCTTAATTGATATATTTACCATTTTAAAGCAATTTGGAAGCCTACCAGTGACTCAATCGCTATAATAAAATAAATACCTATATATTTTGGCATTTGATTTTGGTTTTTTATCATAGAAAATCAGAGCTCCCTCCACAACCTTCATTTACCAGGATGTGGGTCTAGCTGCAGTTGCTCCTTTTTTCCACCCCTGGCGCTCCTGGTGCCCCTCATTCATAACCCTCGTCCTGCCACCCCCGCAGCCCTACTGATGCACGTCACTCGCCAACCCACAGCCCTGCCGGAGGGGGTCCCCAGCTGCCAGGGCTATAGGACCAGGGCCCACAGCACCTGAGCTCTGGCTGCTGCCCATGGGAGGCAGCAGCTGCTGTGGCCCGAGCAGAGCATGGAGCCTGGCTCCCCGTCCCTTGTGGGTGGCACGGCTGGAGTGGAGCCCATGATGCAGGAGACGGGGGGAGGAGGGCAGACGCAGGCTTCCTGCTGCAGGCTCAGGGCTCCCTGCCCTGCTGCTCTCTCCCCAGGGCCTTTGCAGCTCAGTGGGCTGGATCTGGCGCGTCAGGGCAAAACAGAGTGGACAGGCTTGGCGCCACTGCTGGGAGCCCCACGCTGGCTGCAACGCCATAGCGAGGTGCCTCTGCCTGCCCGGCAGCAGTGGGGGTGGCGGTGTGTTGTGCCTCCTGCTGTGGCACTGAGCCTCCCCACCCCACTCTGCCCTGTCCTCCTGGGCCGTGGAGGTCCTTGGCAGGAGGGCAGCAGGGCGGGGAGCCCCAAGCCCGCAGCAGGGAGCCTGCATCCATCCCTGCCCTGTGCACAAATCTGGGGGGCATATGCCCCCCCAGTCCTCCCCCCAGGAGTGCTCTCGGTAGAAGGGAGCTAGCATGAGCCACCTATGACTCCCTTCTGGTCCCTGGCTGGGCCTTGTGGCCATGCATTCCCACCCCAGGCCCCATGCACTGCTCCAGCTGAGCAGTGCCCCCAGCCCTGCCCTGCCCCATTCCCTCTCCCCCTCTCATCCCCCCTCCTCCCCACAACGTACCTGGAGGGAACTAAAGGCGCTGCTCTCCATGCTGCTTGGCATGTATGCACGTGCACATGCACAATGCAGCCGCTTGCAGGCTGAAACTCTGACAGCTTAAAAGGGGATGGCCACCGTTTCCTTCGTTTTTCTCCTTAAGAGTAGAAAATCTGTGTTTTTTCCGCGGCGAACGGAAAGCCCAGATCCCTGATTATAAGAGCCTTTTGTTGAGGAAACCGGAGCTTGTCTTGCCAGCACTAGTTCTGATGGGAACTAGAATTCAGACTGTCTCTGACTGGTGCACGGTTCCGAATGTAATGTGTTTTTTCTGCTGGTATTCCAGGGTGATGGCGAAAGCAGAGGACACAGTGACGGCTCCTTTCATGGCATCGAGTATTTCAAGTGTAGGCAAAACTGTGGGATCTTTCTGCCGTTTAACAAAATCCAGTTTGTTCCTGGACCTGACAGCGATCGAATGAAACAGGAACCGAAACCAGATGCAACTAGAATTGATCCAGTCAAAGTGGGTGATGCTGTGGGCTTCTACCTGGATGAGATCTTGACAAAAGGATTAGCAGTGGGAGTGTACAAGGAAGGAAACCAGTGGTTTGTGAGGGTTTGTTCGGTAAGCTTCGTTTGTTCTTGTCATTCTTGTAGCCAACGTTGTGTTTAGTGACTTATAAATGTGTTTGATCAGTCCTGGGCATACCGTCCAGTTGTGGGGTGGGGTGTGAATGCTGTGGGTCTGGATAAAGCAGGAGCAGGCAAAATGCAGCCTGTCAGGCCATTCTGTCCAGCCCGTGGGGCCCCTAAAAAATTAAGAAAGTTAATATTTATCTGCCCCTGGCTGCCTGTCGTGCAACCCTCGATGGCTTGCCAAAACTCAGTAAGCGGCCCTCTGCCTGAAATAATTGCCCGCCACTGGGATAAAGCCAGCCTGTCCAGTTAGTGGCTTTCCTCCTGGAGCCCTGTCCCCAACAAATCACTCCAACTGGTAAAATCCTCTGTGGAATGTTTTCTTTAGGAAGAAGAAGGAACAACAGATAGTTTTCGGGACATCCCCATGGACTCTGTTGTGAAGGAAGGCTTGCTCTCTCCAGGTAAATCCATACACAGATGCATTTGCCCAGCACGTGCAGAACCCTGGGACGCTGGATTTGCTGCTATTTTTTTCCTTTGTGTTTTCAATGTCTGCAGCATGGCTGATGACCCTCAAACGCATCAGGTTTTGCTAATTTTTTTGAAGAGGATGCAGGGTAAATACGCCATAAAGTGTTTGAAGGGCTGGGAGAGAAAAGGTCTTGCTTTGAGAGCCTGAAGAGCTTAATCTATTTAGCTAATCGTGAAAGATTAAGAGCTAACCTGATTACAGAGTATAAGTAATAGCAGTTACTAAAAGGGTCTTTAATTTAGCAGAGAGAGGCAGGATGACAAGTTGGAAGCTGGTGCCAGACTAATTACATTTAAAAGGAAAGCATAAATATCTAACGGGGATTGATTAACCAGTGAAGCAAACTATGAAGCAAGTGGTAGGTTCTCCATCTTGGTGTCTTCAAACCAGGACCAGATGCCTTCTGGATCATATGCTTTGGCTAAGCATGAGTCATTGGGCACAGTACGGGGGAACCGGGTGAGGTTCTGCAATCTGTCCTACTCAGGAGGTCAGACCAGGCTAGCTAATCCAGCTTTCTGGCCTTACCATCTATGAAATGCAGTAGATTTCGGTTGTTTCCTTGACCTTTTTTTCCTTTGATGTAAATCAGTGGACTAAGTTAATAAGCAGAACAGGAGAAAAATATAGGCCAGAAGTGGGTAGTGCAATTCCTGATCGTAATGTGATGCTGCACTAGGAATTGCTCCCTCCAGTTTTTTGTCCGCTCTTACAGACATGCTAGTCAATAAACAGAAAATTGTGGCAACGGCTGTTCAATCGCATCTTCTGCCCCCGGTCCCCTTGTACCTCGTGGCACGGATGCACGTGACTAACAAAGAAAATTCCACGCTGCACAAATCAGTTCTTTTTCTCCTAGACCTCCTGCTGAGTGGATGGTCTGATGTGACCATTAATGAGAGGTAACATATCTAAATGTGCCTCCAAAAGCAAGATGTGCTTGTTCAAGTAAAACAGCAAAAAGCCATGCATAATCCGATGACAAATCTTCGTCATTTTAAGCACCCTGATAAATCATCTGTTGTGAGTGGAAATCTCTTTCCATGCACTCTTCAGTCGTCTTGTTTTTTGCTGAACCACTCTTAAGCTTTCTTCTAGTTTTGGCTTGTGCAGTGAACTGAAGTATGCCAAAAGTTGTCATTCTGAAGTGTGGAAGTGTCTTCTTTTTTTCTCAGGTGGTCAGAGGCTGCGGTCACTTCTGGTGTACAGGCTGCCTGGGGCCTACGTGTGCTTTCCAGCACACGTAGCACGCAGCCTTCCAGGTTCCAGAGGTGACTCGGAGCAACTCAAATTTGGGTTTGGTGGGAAAGCTCGGCGAGGTCTATTATCACTTGGCCAGGGCACCAGCTGCTCTGTTTTTAACCATCTGCTGCACTTAGCCAAGCTTACCCGTGCCAGTTGGTGACACAGGAGTTCAGTTTACACTCCCCAAAGTCCCTACACAAGTCTCGCAGCCCCTGTATTTATACCTGGAATGCCCTCATTTCAGAGCAGCGTTTATCTGTTTTCCTGTCAAGATGTTCCTTCCTACTGGTCTCTTGTCCAGCTTGCACGCCTGCACCTTCAGTTCTCTTCATTTCTGCCCTGTTAGTGGGCTCTTACCTTTTGATGTTACTCCCTGAGTTATTTAGCTACTGCTTTTTCTCCTCAACTTCTTCACTCGTCAATATGTGTTAATTTTATTACGTTTCTTATCAGGTTTTTCGGTGATCATGAGGCTTGTTCTTTCCAAGCTCCTTTTTGGTGCCTTTGGCATAACTGGAACTCCCTCACAAGTAACCAGGTGGAACTTAATTGACTAGCTAGAAGAAAAACAGTCGTTGAGAAAACATGCTCAGATAACCCATATGGGATAAAGGGGAATCTATGGTAATCCACACTTGGTGGAGTGCTTTGGGCAGGAGTTGAAATGTCTCCATTTGGACACGTCTTTTCTTCTAGGCGTGTTAAGATTTGCAGCAAGCTGCTTTGTGCCCAGGTTGATCTTTTATGTACAGGTGAAAATTCCCCCCTTCCACTTCCTGCTCAGAGGCGTGCCCCTCCACTCATTTTCCATGTTCAACGCTATCTTGCATGTTACTTAAATAGAAATGTTTCCATCTGCACATCTCAAAAGCACTGTATAAAGGTGAGTGAGTGTTAGCTGCAACCCCACCTGGGGAAGGGATATGAAGAAGTCGTGACTGGTCTGAAGTCTAGCGTTTAGCCAGTGGGAGAACTGGGATTCTGATTTTCAGTCCTTTCATTCCTGCAGCTGGAGCATGGCCAGTGGGGTGGAGGCAAAGGTGGCTTGAAGCCGTCTGTGTTCCCCGTGTGCTGACCCCCCTGGATCCTGAGAAGCAGAGGCCAGTGCAGTGTACTGTGATCGTGGCCCCCCAACACATCCCTAGTTCGCTCTACATAGTAAAGATGACAAGCAGTGTAGACAGAAATCTTCCTTTGAACTCTGCACCAAACCCTTTACTCATTTCTGCCTTGAAATCTAGCAGCACAGAGCAGGTGAGGCAGAAATGAGCAACGGGTCTGATGCGGAGTTCAAAGGAAGAGAAGCATAGAAGGGACTTAGTTTCACTGCGAGTCGTACCCTGTATGTCTTGACCACCACCTGATATTTATTCCACTAGCTGGCATGGAAATCCTAGGCAATATTGTTTGGCAGCAGTGTTTTTTCAAACAACATTTGGGAACTGGAGCTGTCTGCTGGCAATTATGCGTAATGAAGGTTGACTTGCTACGCCACGTTCTTGACCTTGCTGTGTATTTTCAGTGTTTGAGCCGGTCGGGTGCCCAGGATTCCAGAAAGAGTTGACGCGGGAAAGAAGCCAGAATGGAGACGAGTGGGAAAGCGGGCATCCTTCCCTGGATGTGAACTCCCTGGTACAGATCCCCTTAGACAAGGGGAACCAAGTCTCTGGAACCATCCGCTGGGTGGGGAATCTGCCCAAAACTACCCACAAAATGGCAGGAGTTGAACTGGTAAGCAGCAGGGTAAAAGTTCTGTTGCTGAGGGCACAAGATTGTGACTTGCAGGTCTGAGGGTGGTAGGGGCTTTTGCCTTTTTTTTGGCTCTTTGAAGCACCTCAGTTGTAGACCTTGCATCTCACAGCAAGACCTAGATTGGGCCTTTTATACATCATGCTATGTAATGAAACAATCCAGCCAAGTGCACCTGACCTATCGCACTTGGATCATGGGTGGGATAATAGAGGTAGGGTTATGCACAACTCCCTTTGTGTAAGGCAAGAAGTGTATTGGTTAGTTTGGAACTGGCAGCCAGGATTCCTAAATCCTATTCCTGTCCTTCTTCCTGACTTGCTGTGAAGTTAGTGGAGGGTAGGGCTAGGATTCAGAGAGACCTGGACGAATTGAAAGGTTGGAGCAAAAGAAATCTCGGGAGGTTCAACAACGACAAGTGCAAAGTCCTTCACTTAGGAGGGAGCAATCCCCTGCACCGGTGCAGGCTGGGGGTGACGGGCTGGGCAGCAGCTCTGCAGAAAAGGACCTGGGGGGACAGGACAAGAAGCTGAACAGGAGCCAGCAGTGCGCCCTTGGTGCCAAGAAGGTGAGCGCTGCCAGCAGATCGAGGGTAGTGATCCTTCCTCTCTATTCGGCACCGGGGAGGCCACATCTGGAGTCCTGTGTCCAGCTGTGGGCCCCCACTACAGAAAGGATGTGGACACATTGGAGAGAGTCCAGGGGAGGGGAATGAAAATGGTTGTGGGGCTGGGGGACAGGACTGGTGAGGAGAGGCTGAGGGACCTGGGCTGATTGAGTCAGGAGAAGAGAAGACCGAGGGGGATTGAATAGCAGCCTTCACCTCCCTGCAGGGGGGCTGCGAAGAGGATGGAGCTGGGCTGGTCTCAGTGGGGGCAGACGACAGGACAAGGAGCAATGGACTCCTGTTGCAGCAAGGGAGGCTTTGGTTGGATATTAGGAAAAACTCTCACTAGGAGGGTAGTAAAGCACTGGAACAGGTTACTTAGTGATGGTGGACTCGCCATCCTTAGAGGATTTTGAGACCCAGCTAGACAAAGCTGTGTCTGGGATGATGTAGTTGGGGCTGGTTCTGCTCTGAGCAGGGGGTTGGACTAGATGTGACCCCCTGAGGTCCCTTCACACCCTCATTTTCTATGAACCCTAAGCAAGTTTTTTCTCTCTTCCTTCATTTCTGCATGTGTAAGTTGGGATAATTCTTCTCTGCCAGCAGAGATGTCATAAAGCTTCGTTACCTGTTTGCAAAATGCTTTGGGATCCTTGTAGAATTGGTTTTACCATCCCTGGGACTTGGATTCGAGAAGTTCATTCATGACATTGCCTGCCACTGCAGGCGTCTTTCGAGGGAGGAAGGAATTGTTGACACCCTGCCCCTCTCTCTCTCTCTCTCTGCCCTTGAAATCCCTCACTGCTCTAGCATGGTGCCAGGAAGCCTCAACCAGGGTTGCTCACTACTTGGTTTCCACCCTCCTCACAGGATGAAGACAAAGGGATCACAGATGGTGAATGGCAGGGGGTGCGCTACTTTCAGTGCCCCCCAAAGCGCGGCATCTTTGTGAAGCTACAGTCATGCCAGCCCGACATGCGCTTCCAGTGTTCAAGCAGTACCAGCCTGGATTCCAGCAGCTTCAGTAAGTCCCCTTCACAGTGGCTGGGTCGGACCAGGAGAAGGGGGTACAGCTGGTGGCTCTGGCTGGCATGGACTGTTGGGCGGGGGGATCGCAGCCTTCTGCAGGGGGTGCATGGTCCTCATCCTTGCATCCTTTGAGCGTATTTTAACAAACTACTTCTTGTCCTTGCTGGGGCAGGATATTGATGGTTCCTCATCCCCTGCTTTGCCTGTGGTCCTTTTAAGGGATGTTTTGGGCATTATGCCTGGTGGTTGTGCAAGAAGGTTGTTTCTGAAGTGTTTAACACTTCTAGGATGATTCAGTCTGGAATGATTCTGCCTAGAACAGGGTTGGACTGTGGCAGCATAGATACTAAAAGCATTTGTAGCCCTGCACCTATCCAGACAGATCTTTTTCCTCTGCCCCCCTGCCGTACAACTTCCAGCATTCAGAGGCTCAAGAAGTCCTAATTTTGAGGTAGCACCCTTAACTGTTACGTTTCTTACCCACTGATGTACCTGTCCTCCATGAATTTGTCCAATCCTCTTTTGTGAAGCTGGTTATCTTGGGACCGAGATACCTGTCACAGCCTGTGATCCCACTGTGCTAGTTGCTATACAAACCCAGAATGAAAGGTGGTCCGTTCCCCCAAGGGTTTAATCTCAAAGACACCATGTGGTTACAGATAGGGCACCACAATGCAAGCAGCTTAAGTGCTGAGATTTTTGTAGGCATCACAGCAAAGGGGAGTTTTAGGAAGGGATTTGAGCTTTGTACATATTTGAAGGAGCTTCTCTGGGGCATGGGGGTAGCATGGGAGAAAGCATGAAGTGGGTGATGAAGGCTAGTGGCATGGGACAATGCAAAACAGGAGTTAGCATCCTGGCAACGAATGCAGTATGATAAGCAAGGAAAAGATAAGCCATGAAGACTCTGAATGTGGAGACAGTGGTATGTTTGTGAGAAAGGGTAAGTCAGCGCAGGAAGGCACAGAGTGGCATGACGAGGGCAAAGCAAGCATCTAGAAGAGCAGTGTTGGCAGCAGTGCAAACTGGATCTGAACACTGCAAAATTGTGTTCATCAAGGCCAGAAGAAAGGATGTCGCGGTAACGTAGATGCTAAGTGAGGGCAGCCAAGGTGTTGAGTGGTAGCTCTGCGGATGGACTGGAAAAGACTATCTTGGAGATCTTCAGCAGAGAGAATCTGCAAGACTTGGACATTGTCTGCCCGTAAGGAGGATCAGTGTCAAAAGTGACAGCCAAGTTATGGACTGTAGTGATAGGCAGGATAGTGACGGGGAAATGAGGTAGCAGGAAGAGCCTGAATGAGAGAGAAAAGCACTGTGCTTCCCTGTTGAACTTGAGCTGATGGCCAGGCATCTGCAGGGAGGTGTCAAGAGATGAGCTGAGGTTTTAGCTTTGTCAGAGAGACAGGTCTGGACAGAGAAATAGGTCTGTGAGTTGCCTGCAGAGAGATGACCACTGAACGTGTATTCCTGGCTGAAATTGCCTGGAGATAAGGGGCTGAAGAAGGGGACCAAGGAAAGGACCTGCGGCAAAGCCGAGAGGGATAAAGGTGATCATCCGATTAGAGAGGTAGAAGGAGAATCAAGAGCGAAAGCCAAGCCAAGGCAGGACAGGAGTATGGGCTCTCTTCTCCCGTCTCCCCCTTTGCCAATGCTCTCCCATTCCCTCCTGTTCAAGCCGTTGTCTAGTATTTGGAGCAAGGTGCTGGGAGTCAGGACTCCTGAGTTTTAGTCTGACACTTGGCACTGACTTGCTGTGACAGCGGGCAGATCGCTTAAATTCTCCGCTGTCCAACTTCTGGCACTGAAATGGGCATAATACTAAGTTCACAGGGACATTGCCAGGCTTAGCCATCTGTCAGGCATTGCAGATCCTCTTGTGAAAGGATCACTGCTGTTTTAGTAGTCCCTGCCACCTGCAGCATGGTCTGGATCCTCCACTCAGGGCTAGCTGGAGTGCTAGGATGGCCAAAATGCAGCTGAACGGAGCAGCAGCAGCCCTTCAGAGTAGCTGTACTAAACCCCTGGTGTTTCCCTTGTGCCCTTGGCGGTAGATGAGCCTTACAGGGCAGTTGAGATCACTCTTGATCCAGATGTGTAGCCCTCCATGAACCCTTGAGCTCTGCAATAAATTCTTATGTAGAGTTTAGATGATGGTTGTATGGGATGGTCTGACTAGAAGTGGTCCTGCCTCAGGCAAGGGGTTGGACTAGATGACCTCTGGAAGTCCCTTCCAGCCCAGCTTCTCTCAGATGATAAAAGTAGTCACTTCTGTTTGTTTCTGTTGCAGACGAGCTGGATAGTCCACAGGTTCTGGATAATTGTCCTCCTCTCAGGGACCATGAAGCTGTGCATGTCTTAAAAGGGCAGATGAGAGGAATTCAAGGGCACTGCAATTCCTGCTACATGGACGTAGCTCTTTTCAGGTCAGAGGTTCCACTTTGACGCTTGCGGGTCAGTGATAGCCTTGATTGAACGGCAGCACCCCAACCGAGTGCCGGTCAAGACAGCTTATCCCAGAGCACGAGGCAGGCACGTTGCACAGTAGAGTAGAACGCAGTGGGCGCATCTATGTGAGCGGTTTACTCTAGGACTGACAAATTAACTCCTTCAAAAGTCTCCGCTTCTACACATGCAGCCCTGTTAGGCCTCAGTAAACTAATAAATGCTGCTGTAGGATAGTACTTGTGAACACGCGTACTGTCTTGTGGCCGCCTAACTTCCTGCGCCGCAGCGCACGTATAGGTGCTGACGGGACTGGCTGGGGCACGAGGGTGCACTCGTGCAGGGGCTGCCTGTTGGCCAGCCCCTCCGCAGCATGTTGAGCTGGGTCGGAGCAGCCCTGGGCTGACAGGCTGACCCTCCAGGTCCTTTGCCAGCTGGGGCTTCTCTGACCTGGCATGACATACTGCAGTCGTGCGTTTAAATGCAGCATGTGGGAGTAATTAACTCCGGCACAAACTGCGCTGGGGTTTATTCGGGCAAATTTAACTTCACATGTAGACATGCCCAGTTGTTTAATCTAGAGATGTCCCTGGACCCTGGCACCTGTGCCACGGGATCTCCTTTATAACATGAGAGGGACAATTCTCCCGGGCTGCAAAGATCCTGTCATTTGCATGTAATGAAACATCAGAGTTTGCCCTACTGGCTTACGCTTTTTAAGTCTAGAGTGGCACCTTGAATAGTGGTCAGAAACACATCCCTCAGGGAAACCTCCAGCAATGCCACTAGTTGATTGTGGAGGAAAATACCCCACAGTGACCCCTTCTCTCCCCACCCCCATGGCAGGCTATGAGACTTACTGCTGGAACATGCGAATTGATTCCCTTCCTTTTGCTCTCCCGAGCTGCAATCACTGCTTATAAATTTGTCTCGCTGCAATATTTCACTCAGATCTCTTCATCCTTCCTAAGGTCCTGGATTCTCTTTTTCCTTGATTTGCATTTCTGTATCTTTATGCCTCTCATCATTTACAACAAAAGTTGCTGACTTACTCCCAAGACTCTGCTGTTCGGGGTGGTGTTGCTGCAAACCCAGTTACTAACCAGGCATTGTCTCACCGCAGCCTCTTCTCCTGCACCTCTGTGCTGGATTCCATGCTCTTCAAGCCTCCCCCCATATCTGACAGGAACGTCCAGAAGATCCTTCGGGATGAAATCGTGACCCCCCTCCGACGGTGAGTGCAGCGTGTGGGAGTGCTGGAGGCAGTGGGTTTTTACTGTAATCTCCATGCACACAGAGTTCATCCCCTGCCTTTCTCTCCTTTCCAGGAACGGTTTTGTTACTGCTCAGAGCGTGATGCGCCTGAGGCAGCAGCTTACGGAAAAGGGCCAGTGTTCAAGCTTTACCACTTCTGAGAAAGGTAATGGACTCTGGAGAATCCTTGCATCTGCTTCTCCCAGTCGGGGACTTAATTTTAGGCCTGTCTTGGAACACTTTAAATAGAATCATAGAAAATGAGGGCTGGAAGGGAGCTCAGGAGGTCACATCTAGTCCAACCCCTGCTCCAAGCAGGACCAGCCCCAGCTACATCATCCCAGCCAGGGCTTTGTCGAGCTGCGTCTTACATCTCTAAGGATGGAGAGTACATGACCTCTGTAGGTAACCTGTTCTAGTGCTTCACTACCCTCCTCAAGAGAGTCTTTCCTAATATCTAACCTCAACTTGCTGCAACTGCCTTGCTGCAACTTGAGCCCATTGCTCCTTGTCCTGCCATCTGCCTCCACTGAGACCAGCCCAGCTCCATCCTCTTTGCAGCCCCCCTGCAGGGAGGTGAAGGCTGCTATTCAATCCCCCTCCGTCTTCTCTTCTCCAGATTAAATCAGCCCAGTTCCCTCAGCCTCTCCTCCCCAGTCCTGTCCCCCAGCCCCACAACCATTTGCATTGTCCTCAAAGCGGATGGTACCTGAGGGATTTCTCTGAGTCTTTAGCTTAGGCTGGACCCTAAGCATGATGGAAAGATTGGGATGCTGAGTCTCCTGCTGCTTGCCTGTTGCTCAGAAGAAACCCCATCTTCTCAGAACATAGCCCAGGGAGGTCTCTGTCCTGCCTATTAGCCGGTGCTTACAGTGCAGTGTTAAGCCCTGCTCCTCTGCGTAGGGTTGTCAATGCCACCATGTTTGCCAGATTCCATTTGGCATCAGTACCATTTTACTGAGAGCAGTTCCTCTGCAGATTCAGTTGGATATGACAGGTTTCTCCACCTGTGGCATTTGCTATGCACATTTATACAGTTACCTTGTTCCCAGCCAGGGTACCTGCTCCAGTGAAAGGTGCTTGTGTGTTACTTGCCTCGTAGTGTAGCTCAGTGGTTCTCAACCTTTGGTACCTTATGTGTAACCCTTGCCAATTGACGCGGCAGAAGTGAAACCGGAAGTCCCACCGTGGCACTTCAAGTTTCGCTGCCACAAGCCGAGTCTCACTTTTTCCACCGCAGCCTGGAGCAAAGCAGCCTGCGTGGGGCCTCCCTCCCTATCCCCCAGCGCACTGACGCTGGGGAGCGAAAGCCCTGGCGCACGGGCTGCGGCGGGAGGGGCAGCAGCCGGAGCTTCTGGCCTGAGCAGGCAAAGACCAAAATGCAGCACCCGCATATTCCCCTGTCCACTTCTCACGTACCCCCAGGGCCACGAGTACCACGGGTTGAGAAACACTGGACTGTAGCTCATTTAGTATTCACACACCGTAGATGAAGGGGTCTGGCACTAATGACAAAGCGATTCGTAAGTGTCCAGGTACTGACATGATGGCCATATAAATACTCAGATGAGTAATTAAAAGTAGAAGATACAAACTCTTCCCTTGACATGTGATGTCTTGTCTTTTTATTTATCAGTATCTTTTTTTTTAATTCATTTCTTCCTTACCAGAGATGGCCCAGACTTGGTCTGATTTCTCACATTGTCCCTGGCTTCAAAGGTCGTTTAATGCATTTGAAGTCGGCAATAAACATTCCTTGAGATTTGCTCTACCAAAGTTTAAATAATGTTGCCCTGCAGTATTTACCTGCAGTGTACAGATAAGAATTTTCTTTTTTAAAAATAACTAGGAAGTCATTCACTACTGATGAAATTGAGACATCTTTTCCTGACTCCTCTTCATCTCTGTGGAGAGCTGTGTCTGTCTCTTACGTTGACCTGTTTCTCTGTGCCGGTGGCTTTCCACCTGCGGTCCATAGACCCCAGAGGTCTGCAGATTGTCTAAGGGGTCTGCGAAAGATGACTATGATCAGTCAAAAGTATGTGAATACCCACACCTATAATTCAAAGGGGTCTGCACCTCCATTCAAAAATGTTTTAGGGGTCTGCAAATGAAAGGCTGAAAACCACTGATCTCGGCAGTTACCTGTGTGTTCAGCTCCTAGTCTGAATAGCACCACACCTAAAGTAAAAGAGGGGAAACGCAATATCAAAACACCGCCCCATGTCTGACTGGCTTCCCCCATGCCAAACTCCCATCCTGTGTGGATGAGGCGGAAGAGGCAAGCTTGCTGATTTTTGAACTGCTCTGATCTATGCTTTTTTTTTTCTCTGACCTTTTAGACCCCGAGGAGTTCCTTAATCTCATTATGCATCACGTCCTGGGGATAGAGCCTCTTTTGAGACTGCAGTAAGTTGCTTTCTGGGTGTGCTCTTATTTTAGAAATGACTTTGTTGCCCAGACATGAGATGGGGAGTGGGAAGAGGCATGATTCATTTCCCTTGAGCACCAAGGAGATGGTGAAGCAAATCTCTAATTTGTGAGAGAGCGCCTCGCTGGTGTCTCTCAGTTCCCCTTTGTCTACCAACTGGGGGCACGTTCCCGGAAGGAACACAATACTCCCAGGGTTTGTGCGGGTAGCATTATCTCCCTGACTTAAAGACCTGGAGAGAGTCGACGGTGGCACAAGTGGCACAGTGCCCATTTTCCTCATCCCCATCGGCTTCCCTGGGAAGCAGTTTCAGAGGGTCGGGTTGTATGTGTGACATTCTCAGGCTGCCAAACTGGCTGCGAGCCTGGCGTCTCAGGAAGTCGGTGGAGTTAGTCCCAGAATCTCAGCTCTTTATGGGGCTCTGAAGGAAACTAAAAGTGAAAAGTTGCAGCGATCAAGAGCGTAGAAGGGGATTGCTACACTTCTGCGTTCCTTCTTTTAGAGACGTAACGGATAAAGCTGCTCAGGAAAGCAGCGATACAAAAACGACTTGTTTTATTGGACTCCATCCTTCCTGCTGTGAGCTGTTTTAAGCTTCCTGTGTTGCTCCATCATTACTGGGCTCGGGGGTGTGAGAGTCTGGAGGAGCTGTATCTTACAATTTCACAAATGCCGCATATTTTGGCTTTGCAGTTTTGCAGCCTGATGCGTTGCAGATGAGCGTCTTGTATCCCAGGTGCAGGGATCATCTGGTCATGCTATAGCACAGCATTATTCCTATTTTCCTATTCCTAATTTAGGAATAACAAAAAAGAAATCAGTGCATCTTTTAAATGTTAAACTGAAGGGGGGTGTTTGGCCCATCGATGCTGGAAATAGAATGAGATGCTGGGCAGGACCCGGTCCCATTCCTCTCCTGCACTCATGGTGCTTACCGCATGTTTCTGAGAGTGCCCTGACTCCTGAACACTGCCTTCAGGTCCAGAGGCCGGAAAGAGCAGGATTGTTACTGCTACCAGATATTCATGGACAAGCAGGAGGACTTGGTGGTACCCAACGTGCAGCAGTTAGTGGAGCGTTCCTTCCTGTCTTCTGATCTGAAGCTAGTGGAGGTGAGTGCAGCCAGCCTTACCTCCTCGCACTAACTGCTGCCTTCGTGTCCTGGCCTTCCCACACCTGCTTGTCAGAAGAGCCTTTCACTCTGCATCTCCACAGTGAGTCTGGCTCATGAGTTTACAACTAACATCACAGTGCAGGAATAGCTGTGCTATGAGGGAGGTATGAGCAGATATGAAAGGTGAGATGGGCACTTCCAGAGCAAAGAGAGGTGCTGTCTCCGCCGACACCAGGAGATCCTGTGGAGAATGCTTAATCCGGCTGCAGGGTTGGGGAGAGGGTCTCGGGCTTTATCTCCTGGCAGGGTTTATGTGGGTAGAACCGTCTCCGCCCTGATTTAATGACTCTGTTGTTGTCTGTTGTCTCGCAGATCCCATCCTGTTTCATTATCCAAATGCCCCGTTTTGGGAAGGAATATAAAATGTTCAGCAAAATCATTCCCTCCTTAGAGCTGGACATCACTGACCTGCTGCTTGACAGTAAGTTATGGGGCAGGAGGGATTATAAGGACTGTCTTGCACCTGAGAGCTAACGCTGTCAGGCGTCATGCACTTCTGAACCCAGTGGGATGGGCTTGTCTGGTTCGATTGTAAACCCCGTACTAGGGATCATGCTGTGATTTCTGCTCACCAAGGAGGCCTTGCCTAGCAGGCGTGAGGTGCCCTCTGCCTTGCCAGGGTCCGGAGGATATGGATTCCCTGTGGTGATGCCGCTCCTATTGCTTACGTTCCTACTCCAGGTCCCCGGGAATGCTCCGTGTGTGGTGACGTTGCGACCCAGGAGTGCTCAGAATGCTTTAAAGACCGGACATTTGCCATGACGGGGCTGAAGCAGTATTGTAACTCCTGCTGCAGACAGGTATCCCATCTCCTCGTCCAGCTGCAGTCGGGGGATATTTCCACTTCTGCTTTCTCTGCAGCCATTAGCAGAGGCGGGGGTCTTGTCTAAGCAAGCCACTCCTTTTGCCTCGGTCATCCACATGTGATTAGTAGCCATATTATGAGGAACTTGCACATCTCTCATCCAGATGGAGCCCAAACGTGTAATAAGGCTGCAGCCGTGACTGCGGACTTTCCCTGCTGATTGAGTACTTGCACTTTCTAGCTTCTCTTGGAGGGCTTTCCATTGCAGGGTTCATAGCTTTCAGACTGTACTTACCATGGGAGAATGTGGCTTGCTATTGTGGAAGAGTCAAAGCTAGGGCAGGGACTGTGCTGGAGCCAAGCGGCACTTGGGAAAGATCCAGTTAAGGGGAAAGCAGATGACTTCTGAATGAATTGGGAAGTGAACTGACCGCTCCTCCCCGGCTGCCTTCTCTTGAGGCTGGGTGCACGTGAAGTGGCAGCAACCCTACTAAATCCGTCGATGCTCGTGCCTTGTCTGCCCTCAGGTTCACTCTCACTACCAGCGCAAAGCACACCGGCCCACAAAGCTGCATGTCCCTGACGAGTTTCCCGGCACGAGCCAGCTGGGCAGCCAGCGGGTCCCACGGGAGAAAATGGAGCTCTTTGCAGTGCTCTGTATAGAGACCAGTCACTACGTCTCCTTTGTGAAATATGGACCGGAGAAGGAGAATTGGATGTTCTTTGACAGCATGGCCGACAGGCACGGTAAGGAGAGAGCCGCATTTGCACTTTCAAGCCCAGTTCAGAGCAGATGTCATGTATTTCTGTGTTGCTCTAGAAGGTGATGAACGTGAGGTCTTTCCTGGACTTCATTGGGCTGCTTCAGTGATATTTAAAATATTTTAAATGAGCAGTGAGAGGGGCTTGCCTGTTGGCTCTAGTGCCCAGCAACCCCACCGACTGCTGGACAGGCTTCCCCATCAGTGTGCCGGAAGGGGCCAACATCTGTGAGGCACAGATTACTGGCTGTTCAGCAGAAAGGCCGTGAAGCATAAATTAAAGGGGCCTGTTCTGTCTCTGGCTATGGTGTACTTGAGCTGGGTATCGTCTCTTAAGTCTGAGCCCAAATCACGTTTCCTTTCTTCCTCTCTGGCTCAGGTGATGAGACGGGCTTCAACATCCCCACAGTGACTCTGTGCCCAGAAGTTGCCAAGTACCTGGAATTGCCAGTGGCCGTGCTGGCCATGGAGCAGCCCCGGGACATGGAAGGAGTGGCCAAACGCCTCTTCTGTGACGCCTACATGTACATGTACCAGAGCAAGAAAATGGCACTTTATAAATGATGCCAGCTTGGCGGGGCAGACGGGGACGTGGGCTGCCACTCCAGCACAGAACAATGGGGCGTTGGGAAGGAGAGGCTCAGCTCTCACCAGACAGCCTCTGCTTTTGCAGCTGCTTATCAGGAAACCCAGAGTCCGAGTCAAACGACCTTTCAGCTTTGCATTTGCTGACGTCTTCCAACAGCTGGGATCGAGCTATGCACAAGAGCAAGGTTCAGTGTTGAAAATCCTGCAGGCGGCCTTAGCCAAGCAATAGATTGGACTTCCTGCAGATCTGAGCGGTTTAGAGATTTTTAATTAGGACGTTATTTTGTGGGAGAGCTTCACCCCATTCCTCTGCCTCCTCCTCCTGCTCTTTC